AACAGAGAAAAGAAATTGAAAAAAAAAAGTAAGTAAAGCAAAAGAAAGAAAAGAAAAGAGAAGAAAAGAAAAAAAAGAGAAAAAAAGAGAGAAAAGAAGAAAAAAAAGAGAAAAGTACAAAAATAAAGCGAATCCTATGTCATGAACTACGTTCGACCTGATTCCTTTTAAGGATACGTAGGCAGCCTCACGGTTCGGTCCCATCAAAATAAAATTCGAAATTCCCCAAGCAAGGAAACTGGGGCAGAAGTTGCGGTTTTGTAAAAGATCTGATTCCAAAAGTTGTAATTCTAAACCCATTCAAGTTGTTTTGAGCCTTTATGATATCCTTTCTTTTTAACCCTGTCCAAAAGCCACATTACGGTCCAATAAAGACCTCCCAGATAATCTTTGAGAGTGCCGAGCTAGACATGCCAGGAGCATATGATGTTTTACTATGGGTAATACCTTGTCATCTGTGGAATCAGAGGAATAAAAAGAAAAGAACAAAATGAGAGAGTCTTATTAGTGAAAACCTTCACAGGCACCATAAGGCGACGGTGAGTTGAGAGAAAGAACAAAATGAGAGAGGCTTGATGGTGAAAACCCTTCGGGCACCACAAGTCGAATAAGGATCGTGAATAAGCTAGGATGATCGGAGCATTGAAGCCCAGTTTCACGGCGAGGAGGTACAACAAGAGTTGAACATGAGACTTTCTTGACAGATTAGGCCGTTAGTCCAAAAATGCGTGTCATGGTCATTAGAGTTGGTATCCACATCTGATAAGTTTCTACTTTGTAGATTTCTTGCTAGATCTCATGTCATTCCATTGTCCCTTACTCTGCTCATTTTGTTGTTCAAGTCCTCTTTTGAGTCAGTTTGGTCAAAACAAGTGAGAATGACTTCAAAGTATGCTACCAACTTTCCAATTGCACAAAGCGGAATCTGTCTTGCACATCAAACTGGCATAAGTCAGGAAAGAACAGCATGCGCACTGAGTCGGTAACAATCAACGTGCTTTGGGATTCATGTGAAATACAAAGGTTCGGTGTATATCAATTCATGAACAATGCAACAGATAGAGGGTGTTTGGTTTGAACGGATCAAAGGTATTTTCTGTGATAAGGTTGACAGAGAAAGTGGTTAACCAATAACAAACAAGGTTTTCCAAGTGGGAATCAAAGATTATCATGGCAAGTGAAGGAGCAACATACCTCAAGGCCAAGGCCAGTGACCTATGTCGGGAAAGAACAGCAAGCGCACTGAGTTGGTAAAAATCAATGTGTTTTGGGATTCATGTGAAATACAATGGTTCGGTAAATGTCAATTCATGAGAAAAATGCAACAGATAGAGGATATTGGGTTTGAACGGATCAGAGGTATTTTCTGTGATAAGGGTGACAGAGAAAGTGGTTAGTCAATAAACAGGCAAGGTCTTTCAAGTTGAAATCAAGGTTATCATGGCAAGTGAATGAGCAATCGCCCGCAAAGTCAAGGCCACAAACCAACCACCACGTTTAAACTCATAAGTTTTCTTTATTTGAAACAGGGACGAATTCTATGTCCAAATCAAGCTTGGAAGCATGAATTTTTAAGTACCGTGCCCAAATTTTGTCAGCACAAAGGCTGTGCGAGAAGGTTTTTACTTGCAGGTGCAAACTGGGGCAGAAAAATTTTGTTCGTTTTGTTTGTTTTGATTGCAGGCACCCACATGGAAAACAAGGGAACACAGAAAGTTTCACCAATTAGGCACCCACCTGGAGAACAAGGGAAAACGGTTCAGGTTTCAAGGGAAAACAGTTCAAGTTTAGAAGGAAGACAGTTCGGGTATCGGCAATCAGGCGCCCACCTGGAGAACAAGGGAAGACAGTTCAAGTTTCAAGGGAGAGCAGTTTCGAAGGAAGACAGTTCAAGTTCAGCAATCAGGCGCCGACCTGGAGAACAAGGGAAGACAATTCAAGTTTCAAGGGAAAGCAGTTCCAAAGCAAGACAGTTCAAGTTCAGCAATCAGGCGTCCACCTGGAGAACAAGGGAAGATAGTTCAAGTTTCAAGGGGAAGCAGTTTCGAAGGAAGACAGTTCAAGTTCAGCAATTAGGCGCCCACCTGGAGAACAAGGGAAGACAGTTCAAGTTTCAAGGGAAAGCAGTTTCGAAGGAAGACAGTTCAAGTCCAGCAATCAGGCGCCCACCTGGAGAACAAGGGAAGACAGTTCAAGTTTCAAGGGAAAGCAGTTTCGAAGGAAGACAGTTCAAGTTCAGCAATCAGGCGCCCACCTGGAGAACAAGGGAAGACAGTTCAAGTTTCAAGGTAAAGCAGCTTCGAAGGAAGACAGTTCAAGTTCGACAGTCAGGCGCCCACCTGGAGAACAAGGGAAGACCGTTCAAGTTTCAGCAATCAGGCGCCCACCTGGAGAACAAGGGAAGGCAGTTCAAGTTTCAAGGGAAAGCAGTTTCAAATGAAGACAGTTCAAGTTCAGCAATCAAGTGCCTACCTGGAGAAACAAGGGAAAACAGTTCAGGTTTCAAAGGAAAGCAATCGAAGTTTCAAAGGAAGACAGTTCAAGTTTTGGCAATCAGGCGCCCACCTAAAAAACAAGGGAATTCACTTCAGAATGCAATTCAAGTCAGCAACAAAGGAAGCTCACCTGGAGAGTACGAGTCAACAGTCCGAGATGATCAACAGAAGTAATCTCAATCCAGAATATAAAAAAAAGGAAAGGGAAGTGAATCCAAAATGTAGAAGCTGAGACGAGAGGTGGATTGCTCAAGACATGACTGAAGTCACAAGCACAGTGTGTCCGGTCTTAATCTGAAGAAGAATGAACTAGCACCTGCAGCTAGCAAGCGTCAAGGTTCAAATTTAAAGTCTGCATGAAGAACCATTCAAGACTCAAGATCAAGCTTCAAAAGACTTATAGATAGGAATCTTGTAACTCATAGTTGACAGGCTTAGTTAGGTCTTTTTCATTTTTTGATTTTGATGTAATAACAGGACCGCGGACCGGAACCTCGACGGAACCGCACCTCAACCGGCTCTCCACCTCGGTATACTCCATCACTGTTCCTACTTCTGAACTACACATGGCCTGATTCCTTTATAGCCAAGGATATGTAGGCAGCTCAGATACCAGGGCTCGGTCACATTCTCTTTTCTTTAGTTTTTGGTCTCCCTAAATAAGGGTTGGGTCAAAAAACATGTCTAGTCGTTCTTTGTCTGAAAATACTTCGTGTTTCCAGTCAAAGAACGGCAGCTGTAGACATGTGATTTTTTACCCTCCCCAAGATTTTACATATTTTAGCATTTAAATATTTAGTTTAGGTCTAATATAGCTATTTCAACTAGTTTTGACTCTTTTACTTTATTTTATCACAAAAATAAAAATTACAAAAATAGTTTCGTTAATGATTTGTAGTCATACTATTTTACTAGGATTTTTATTTTTTTTATATAATCTTGAAAAAATACCAAAATAGTCTCACAACATAATACTGTCTATTTTAATTAATTAAGATTAGTCTTATATTTTCATGTTATAAATTGTATATAATTTTTAGAAGGAAGAGTTAGTTTTGGGTTGGTTTTTCCCATTTTTATGAATTTTTGTAGTCCATTTTTAGTTTTTGGCCCAATTTTTAAGGCCCAATAGATAAAAACCCATACTCTTAACCTAAAAAACCCTATACATATACACACTCTAAGACCTAGATCCGGGGACTCTAAAAAAAATCCATCCGCCGTTACACCAAGAGACCCACCCCCCCTGAAACTTGGTCTTCTTCTTCACAGACCTTAGGAGACCTATAGGCACATAGAGACTTGAGAAATCCGCCGCAGAACAACAGAACCCCACCCCCTGAATACCATATTCTTCGAACCCACCCCACCCCAAACGTCAAAAGCAGCAACCCCTGCTACCATCACCAGCTCGCCTCACCACCCCTGCCCTTCATCTTCAATCTCCAGACCTTCACAACAGAACACCCAAAACCAGACCCACCAGTGAACAACCAACGACACCCATCCTCTATACACAAACCAAGCGCACAATCTTAACCACACACAACCGCACAACTTCTCACCAGACCCAACCTAGTTCGCCGGCGTTGTTCCTTGCCTTTCTCTCACAGATCTGTGAAGATGTACACATCCAGGAAAAAGATTTACAAAGATAAGGATGTTGGACGTATTGAGTTTGAGTGAGTTGATTTCAGTCAAGATCTGAGGCTGTCGTTCGTTGGTTCCAATTTAAGGCTATTGTTGCGTCCGTTTCTCGATCAAGTTCGAGTTTGCCGGGATTTTACATTGCTGTAAACAAGTTAAGATTTCTCCTTTTTACTTCACTATTGATTTCATGGATTTAGATCTCACCTCATAGCTCTACTCTTTCCTTGCTCTTTTTGTTTTCTCGATTTTTCTCATAGGAATGGTCCAATTTATTTGTTCATCTTGCTCTAATTGTTGTTCTGTAACTAAGTTTGTCTTGGATGTTTGTGTGGCAGTAGTAATTGCTAAAGGATATAACATTAGACATGGGCAAAGAAAGTTAGTTGTTTCTCTGTTTTGAACGAGAATTTGGACCTCTTGAAAAAATCCAATTTACCGTGATAATTCTGATTACAATGTTATGACTATGTATTTTGTTTCTTGTGAAATCTGTGCGAAGGGCAATGTTTTCTCCTGTGGTTTTGGTCTTCTTGTTGCTAGTTTTTCGTGTTTAGGTAATTAGGTGACCCATGTTTAACTAGGAGGTCATTACCCGGTCTATTCCTCCCAGTCTTCATTTCCGTTTGAGTAAATCTGAACTTATTTCCTTGTTGTTCATCGGCACTGAATCTTGATTGTGTTTGAGTGAAGCATTTTTGTTGGAGTCCGTTTTATTTGTTCAAATATGATTTTGGCTTGTCTTGTCTTGAAATTAAGTTATAAGGTGTACTAATTGTATAGTTTTGTGAAAGTAGGAAGTTTTCCTAACTTAGTTGCATAGCTAGATGTAAATTTAGTCCTAAACCATAGGATAAATTAATTTATGAATATGTTAGTATGCTTTTAGACCCGCTTTTAATCTATCATCGTGATTGTGTACACGTTTGCGTGACATGATTACGATCTTTCTCAAAATAAACTGAGGTATGCGTTCACGCAACTTTGACCAAAATTTCTTTATAATAATAAAGTATTATTAATCGTGGACACGTTCGCGTGACATGATTTTTGACGCGCCAAACAAACGGGTACACGTACGCATGACCTGTTTTAAGATAATTTCTTAATTAAAAAGGGAAATGCACATAGGTTCTAAAATAAGTAATTAAGCAATTTGATTAAGCCAAGTATGATCAAAGCGACCGTGCTAAAACTACGAAACCCGGGAATGCCTAACACCTTCTCCCGGGTTAACAGAATTCCTTGCCCGGATTTCTATGTTTCGCAGACATTCAAACAGAGTCAAATCTCCTCGATTCGGGATTCTAAACCGATGACTTGGGACACTATAAACTATCCCAAGTGGAGACTCTGAATTTAATATAAATAATCTCATTTCGATTGTCACTTTTAATTGGAAAAAACTCCCTTATATCCCTTCCGGGGAAGTAAAAAGGAGGTGTGACAAGAATGATAGAACAATAGCTTCAATTTTTAGTGAATTGATTAAAAGTCTCAAATTTCAGAGTAGTCGAATTAGTGAGAGTGAGAGAATACAATGAATAAGGTTCGTTCAAGGGGATTTAGGGGAGGGGTTTATATAGTAGTAAAATCAGACGAGTAAATAAGGAAAGAAGTCAATCAAACATAAACAAGGAAAGGAAAAAAATATGCATGCAATCATAAAGCAACTAGTAAAGCAAAGAAATCGAGAATCAAACCCTAATTAGGGTTCAATATTTAAAAATTCGTCTACTGGTATGAGAAATCAACTATTCTTCCGTGTATATGGACGAGATATTGTCCAGATCTTAGCGATTGAAGTTGAACGGGCTCGAATCCGAGAGATGGTACTTGCCAAGTTTAGGCAAGTACTAAGTAACACCATAGTCTTGCAAGTAACAACGAGGTAACGCGTAAAAGGTAAATAAATCACAGAGGGAATCCATGGTTTGCTCGGATTTGGAGAAGATTGGGGAGGCGGCTAGGGTTTCTGAAGGAAGGAGAAGGAGAGATGAGAGAATACAGAGGCGACGGGGTGGGGACTTTGTCTCTAGGGTTTGGGGTTATGGGGATATAAGGGGAGGTAGGCATTTATTATGGACCGTTGATCATTTGAGACCAACGGCCGAGATTGAATAGGAAACTGGGCGGGTCAGAAGGTAATGGGTCGTTTGGTTGGGCTACTGAGGTTATTGGGCCGGGGGTTTGGGTATGTTTAGTCCGAAAAATAGCTCAAAAATTGGGCCAGCTTTTATAAATGAGAGATTAAAGGGAAATAATTTAATAAAATAGTTAAATAAATATAGAAAAATGTTATTTATGCAAATTAATATTTTAAAATAATATTAGAAGAATATAAAAATGCAAAATATTATTTTGGCCCTGAATAAAATGACAAATGCAATAAAATGCAAAATATAGGCTATTATTACAAGATTGTGCAAATAGCTTTAAAAATACTAAAGTAATTATATAAAATGAAGTAAAAAAATTGAAACATGCATTATGGATGCAAATAATATTTTTAGATTATTAAGCCATCACAAAATAATTTTAAGGAGTAATTAATAAATATTCAAGTAATTTAAATGCAAGAAAATTAAAGTTAAAGCTCAAAAAAAATTATGGAAAATTATATAAAATGCTTGTATAGATTTTGTAAACTAAATAATGATGTTAAATGATGTTTTGAAAGTATATATACTATTTGAGAAAATATGAGGGCAAAATTGGGTATTAACAAGCGCCTCATAGATTTGTGTTTTCCAATAGTTTCCCACCTCCTTCGAGTTGGTCTCTGGCCACAACGTTTTGAACCTCCAAACTCATTAAAAGTTTAACTACTTGACAAACCACAAAAGTCAGGACATAAAACATATTATATTACCGCATAAGCTTCAACGAGCACATGAGTAGGTAAATTGCTACGTGCTTTTTGTTTTTCTGTTATACCATCGGTGGCGTGGCCACCCTATGCCAATGGTGGTCAACACTTCCCCTTAAGATAGTGAGAGGTGGAGTTACCACTCCTAGCTTATTTCAAAAACTGCAAACATCTGCTTAGCTAGTGCCTTTGTATGAATGTCAGCTAGTTGATCGTTTGATCTAACAAATCTTGTGTTAAGCTGCCCACCAGCAACTTTTTCTCTAACAAAATGATAGTCCGTCTCAACATGCATTGTTCTCGAATACATTACTGGATTGACTGTCATATATAGTCCACTCAAGTTATCACAGAACAGTATTGGTGCAGTCTTTATATGAACCCCAATGTCATTGAGAATGTATGTGATCCATGTCATTTCAGTTGTTGTTCAAGCATGTGCTCTATACTCATCTTCTGCACTAGACCTTGCAATTGTTGTTTTGGATGTCCAAGATATACAATTAGTTCCAAGACAGATATTGTAGCATGTAGTTGATCTTCTAGTCGTAGGACACCCTCCCCAGTCTACATTAGTGAAACCATATAACCTGAATGGTTATGAGATAAGATCCTTAAACCAAACTCAATTGTGCCTTCACATATCTAAGGATCCTTTTTACAGCTTGGTAATGAGCGATGTTTGGACTTTGCATGAATTGACTTGCCAAATTCATTGCATGAGTTATGTATGGTCTTATGAGGGTTAAGTATTGTAGACTGTCAACAATACTCCTGCATAATGAAGCATCCACTGGATCATCTACAACTTCTTGTAGACCATGCTTTTATGCTAGAGGTGTGCTTATTAGTTTAGCATGTGCCATGTTAGTCTTGGCGAGCAATTCTACAACATCCTTCATAGCAATTCTACAACATCCTTAAACATACTTAGTTGAATTCCTCCAGTAAAGTAGGTGTGTGTATGCTTACTACCCTTAAAACCAAGGTGAAGCATATGTAAGTTGAACTTGTCAAACCAGGCTCTAGGTTTCTGCTTAAGGCCATATAGTGCTTTCTTTAGAAGGCACACACTGTCAGGATATCTAGGTTCCTTAAAACCTTGTGGTTGACTCATGTGCACCTCCTCCTGCAGATGTCCGTATAAAATGTATTCTTTACATCTAGTTGTCTAATACACCAGTGGAGACTCACAGCTATTGAGAGAACTACTCTTCTAGTGGTTCCTTCAACAACTGGACTGAAGGTTTATTTGAAATCTACTTCTTCAAGTTGTGAACACCCCTTGGCAACTAGTCTTGCCTTGTACCTGTCAATGAATTCACCAGCCTTTATCTTGGTTTTGAACACCTACCTAGAGCCAACTATATCCATACCAGCTGCCTTAGGCACCAATGTTCAGGTCTTGTTTTGCTGAAGTACATTTATCTCCTCTTTCATAGCTGCAAGCCATTCTGGGGAGTTGAGTGCCTCATTCATTGTCTATGGCTCCTTAGCTGCAAACAGACATATGCGCCTTACTGGCATGGTTTTTGATTTTAGCCTTGTCACCATGTGATGATTTTGTGCATTGGATGTGTGATCTGTTGGTTTTGCCTCATCAGTAGGTTCTTCTTGTGTTGGTATAGTTTGTTCATCCTGATTAGATTCAGTGTTGAACCAGTGAGACAAACCAACTTCAAGCTGAAATAATATTAGGTTTAGGAGGTGCACTGTCCTGAGTTGAGTTGTTTGATACTTCACTTATTCCAATGGACTGAGGTTCAGAAGAAGTATCAATTGTATTTGTTCCAGTGAACTCTGACTCAGTAGGAGTGCCAGTTGTGGTCAAGGGAAGACTAGGAGTATTTGCAGCAATGTGATCATCTATTGGTGCAGGAGCTGCTGCTGCAGGTGGTTCGGCAGGCTGGTGACTTGTTGGTGTAGGAGTAGCATGAGCAACAATTACACGTTGATCACTAGTTGGGTCACTATTTGGTGGTGCATTCAACACTTCCCCTGAAGTAGAAAGGTCCACATCTGATTTGAATTGTCTTGCAACCAAGAGAAAAACTCATAAAAGGTAGCAAGATGAGTAGTGTCACTTGAACTATCTAGTGGTGCATCTAGTTGCACATAGGGCAGTGTGTTCTCATCAAAGAACACATGCCTTGAGACAAACACTCTCCTGGAAGGTGGATGATAACAAATATAGCCTTTATGAAGACTATTGTATCCAATAAACACAAGGATAGGTCTTTGGGAAGAATTTAGTTTTGCCTTTCAAGTAGGGAAAATACCTGCATCCAAATACTTTCAGATTATTATAATCCGAATTTCTCCAAAAAGCTTAAAAGAATGGAGACTCCATTTTTAACATTGGTAAGGGCATTCTGTTAATTAAGAATACAACTGCCAAGAAAGCTTCAACCCAAAGGAACTGTGACAACTTTGCACGAAAAAAATAAGGTCAGACATGTTTTTACTATATGCCTATGTTTTCTTGCAGAGACTCCATTTTGCTCAGGTGTATGAGGACATGAGATATGTCTAATAATCCCACAATTATCTAGATGCTCCACAAACTCAGTATTATTGAATTCACTCAACTATCTTCTGAAACTTAACAAAAATATCATAGAATTAAGATGTCAAGTTTTGAGTCATTTCCAACTATTATCTTATCAGGGCCATTATAAGTCTAAAGATTTGACAATTACTTGTTAAATTGGTTATGTGACTACTTGCACCAGAGTCAACATACATGGTCTCATCCTCAGCTGGTGTATTCTGCAGATTAACAGCAGAAAAATATCTTTTGTAGCCTGGTAGGAATAGTCCTACCTGTAGAAGCATTTCAAGGATGTGCGGTTATTCCTTCCACATATTTGATTATTATTCTTGCTCTTTGGTTTACTTATTCTGAGTAGCCTGAGTACTCTAGTTGTTTCCTTGTCCTGCAAGTCTAAAACCTCTTCTTCTTGAGGAGAAGTTTGAGTTTCCTTTTTTGTTTAGAGTAACCCCCACGACCTCTTCTCATTGAGCAACAAAAATCCATGTAATAGCCCTGTTGAGTCACCTCTTCTTCATCCTCTCTCATGTTAAATCCTCTAAGAGAACTGACAAACTGGTTCAAGGTGGGATATGGAGTCTTTCCCAACATGATTGTCCTAAAAGTCTTGTACATTGGACCAAGTCCTCTAGAAAAGTTGATTGCCTTGTTGTCTTCAGCAACGGGCTTGTGTACGGCTGAAAGACCATCACATATTCCTTTGAATTCCTTCAAATATTCATCAAGCCTTTTGGTTCCTAGCATGATGTTCTGTAGTTGCTTCTTAAGCTGAAATTCCTTGTCCTTAGTTGTCTACAGGTATGTTTCCTCTAAGCATTTCCACATCTCTTTGGCAGTTAAAAATCCCACAATGAGGTACATGCTTTCCTCAGTCATTATAGCAGAAATCTAGCTCCTCAGGAGCACATCCTTTTCCTCCCAATCAGTGTTATCATCACCTTTGTCAACAACCTTGTCAATTCCATCAGAGGAGGATGAACTGCTTGCGTCTGGCTTTCTTTCTTTGATGATCATGTTTGTCTCCTTCATTACCTGAATCAAATGAATTATTTGTGTCCTCAAGATTAGGTAGCTTGATGGCTTCAACTTAACTCATCGGGAAGCAATGAGATGGTGCAGGGAAGCAGGTGATAAAGACAAGGAGGTTGAGGATGTTGTTATATCCATGTTTGATCTGGTTTCTGTTTTGGACAGCGTAGCTTTAGAAAGCTCTGGTACCATGTAGAAAAATACAAGATTGAGAGGAGCTTATATTGAGCAGTCAAGTGTTTTCATATATGTTACAAAGATAAAAGTGATTGTATTTATGCAAGTCACAAGTCTGGAGAAAAACAAGGCTAAGTATGTTAAGTCGATATACAATGACTTAGAGTTCTACAAGACGTATGACTATTACATTGAGTTGAATACAAACTCTACAATGCTAACGAATGAAGCTCATCTAGTGGTGATCTTATCCTTATCATGTTCAACTTTTTCAATATTATGTAGTCATTTTCTTTCTAGCTGGATATTTATCTTTTCTCTTAAATTTTCAAGTCAAGTTTTTAATGTTACAGTGATAGCGGAATATACAATAGGTGTTGTAACAGGAAGATTAGCCATGGAAGGAGAAAAGGAGCCATGAGAATTTGTGGAGCCATGAATATATGAAAAAGAAGTAGGAGGATAACCAGGTCTCTGATACCAGTAAGGCATCAATAATAAGTACCTTCAATAACTAAATAATTACAAGTGGTATTTATAATATATATATATATATATATATATATATTATATATATAATAAAAAATAAAAATATTAAGCTAACCTTCTAACTATACAAAATATATATCTAGCAAAATATATTAGTTATTGAAGTAAAGTAGCTAGTACCAGCAGTGGCGGCTGTAGCTTCCAAGATAAGAGTTCAACTAAATCCAATAACTTTTATACGGAATTTAGACAAGGACAAAGGGAGAGCATTAGCAACGGGTTTGAACGAATCCAATAATTTTTGCTCAATGCCTATATTTTTACAAAAAAAATCTATTACATATGTAAAAATATATAATTGCGAACCCACTAATTAAGAGAGATATGGTTCAGTGGCAATTCAGAACCCGTAAACTCCAAATGCTAGCGTCGCCTCTGAGTTTAGATAATACGTGTAAAAATTACTAAAATTTCAATAAATATTGCGTATTGAACCAATTATTTTTAAAATGCAATGAGTATAATAATAAAACCATAAAGAATGAACCCATAAAGTAAAAATCTCGAATTCGCATCTTCACGAGTACCATGGTCATTTTAGGCATGCAAAATGTAGGCATTCCATATTTGGAAGGTAGGACTAAAAAGGAAAAAAGGACAAGTAACAAATGGAAAGATAAAAAGAAACTCTCACTTCTCTCTAAGAAATACCAACCCCACCAATCAACAAAACAATCCTATACCGGAAATCAAACAAAAAACCACACTGATCTAGAGAAACTACCTCCAAAACTACCGGATATTAAATTCCCTCAGTTAACTGAACCCATCTCATTCAAGGATAAACTCCTAACTAATGAACAAGAGAGAAGCTTCTAAATATCCTCACCCCCCTTGTATTTATTGCCTATGGCTATTGATATCATCGAGGAAGAAGGGGAAAAGGCTTCTGAAGCCCAGGAGAATGAATATACGGTTCCTATAACTGGGGAAGACAAACAACGCATTTATTACCAATGGAGATTCTCAGTAATAATCAAACTCCAAGGAAAAAATATCCTTCACCAAATTCTCAGACACAAATTGACAGATGTTTGGAAGCCAACAGAGGTATTTTCACTAATTGATCTTGTTGAAGATTACTACAAAGTGAGATTCAACAAAGAGGAAAATATGGTAAATGCATTACAAAATGGACCGTGGTTCATCTTTGGTCACTTTCTATTGGTGCAATGCTGAGAACCAAATTTTGTACCTTCAAAAGCCAAACAAACACTCACTGCAATTTGGATACGCCTACCCCCAGCTCCCCACAGAGTTTCATGATGGGAAAATTCTGAAAAAAGTGGGCAACACAATTGGAAGGCTACTCAAAGTTGATGCCTGCACAACAATAGCTCTACGTGGGCGTTATGCCAGACTTTGTGTCGAATTACCTTTGAACAAACCAGTTAAATCTAATGTATAGATAGGCTCGCGTAAACAACAAATCTTATATAAATGTGACAAGCCCCTTTATTTGAACTTTGGACATCTAGGGCACTCAACAAGCCAGTGCACCAAGATTAAGCAGCAGACAACTAACCTAGTAACAAAAGAAAAAGAAGACAATGAGCAGAGTGGCTACATGCAGGAGAAAACATCCAGGACCAACGAGGGATGGAAGACAGTCACATTTCACAAAGGGAAGAAAAGGCATGTGATGAATGAGAGCTTAGAAACATCAACAATGGCAGGTATAAATGTCAATATTTTTTACGCCACCACAGGTAAGTTCCTTAGCTCCCAAATATTAAACTACAAAGCCCGTCCTAAAACAATCTCTCTGGAGATAACAGAACGGAAAAAAAAACAATTGCTGGGGAATACCTCACAAACAAAAAAGATATCCATTCAGAAAACCACTTTTCAGCTCTAATGGAACAGGACATGGTTTTGGATAATACCACAAACCAGCCACCCGAAAAATAAAAGAAAACAATATAGAAACCAAGGAATTACATAACGAAGACAACTCAAATGGACACGTGTCCACCATTACAGACTGCTCACCTAATTACACTCTCTGTAATACTACTAACGGAAATAATCAAACTACTACTAATCACGCCTATACCGCAAAACACTCTACTACTGATAATAATTGCCCCATGCATGCCACAAGTGACAAAACCTACCTGTCAAAACAAGAATCATCCTTGTTCCAAATGGCCAATGCCATGGAACACGTACCCAAAACCCAATCTGCTCCCTCTCTTAATAAATACTCTACACTACTCCTCTCAAATGACATGCAAATTGAATCCATAATCATTGAAACAGATTCAGTGAATTTTCGAGAAACCAACAGCGTTCCTAAGTCCTCTATAAGATCTTCCACTTTAATAAAAAATTCCAAGAATACCTATCTCCCACAGGAGACGTTACAATCGCATTCAAATCCTACGTCACAATCAGCTTAAAAACATGGCAAACCAAACATCTCCCAATCCACAAACAATGAATACTCCCACGATCTTTATCCAACCCCCACTGCCAGAGAATCACCAACCACTATCTTGGGTAGAGTTGGGACTGATGGGTCATGTCATCTCTTTCAATATCATGTTGGATGGAAGAGAGTTAGTGATTGTACTACAAAACTCGCACTATCTCGCCCAACTAATTAGGGTATCCAGTTATCGATGAATAACTACATGAACCATGTTTGGGTGAACAATATTCTTCACCCAGTAGCACCAAACTTGACTCCCAATGCAACTCAGATGATGATGGGAGAGTGGAATCTGCCACCCCATTTGTTCCAATCCAAAATGCAAACTCAGTGACGGGTCTACCATTCTTCACTCCGGAGATTACGACCAACATCAACCCAATATTTACACCATGGAGTGCACATGCAAACCAAACTTTAACTCCCAATGCTCAGCATGCACCTCCAATACCTCATCAGGTCCATCACAGCCTCATGCACAAACAAACTTACCACACCAAGAGGACATGATGGAGGAGTCAGTGGAACTCATCAACTTAATCCCAGAATAAATAATCGAAGATTCAAATCTCGACGAGGTAAAACTGTTTATCTTCACGGAGATGCAAGAACAGAGGCAAATTCTTAATTGTCCAATGGCACTTTACAAGTGCACAATGGACATAAGAGCACTAGTCGATCCAACAGTAGGGCAACATGCAATGATCCCAGTTCCCTTTCAGAGAAGGAACCCAGTGCATGCACCAAGAGTGCTGGAGAGTGGAGACCTACACAACTGGAATATCAACATGAATAGGGCTATCTCATTCATTATATGGAACGTTCGTGGTGGAAACAATGATAATTTCAAATTAAATTTTAGGAAAATAATTGACACCCTCGTCCTTGCATGGTCACCTCTTGGAAACAAGAATGGACAACCATATGCCTCTTTTAAACCCATTTGGTTTCTCCGACATGATCAAAATTCCGGCTGATGGACAATTGGGTGGTATGGTCATCCTATGGGACCATACTCTTGTCAATGTCCATAGCTTTGTTCGTAGAAGCCAAGAAATTAGTGCAACCATTGAGGTAATTCCTACTCACAAAACTTGGTTATTTACCTCTATATATGCTAGTACTAAAACTAACTATAGAAATCAAATGTGGAATAACCTTATCAACATGCACGCTAATTTTAAGTGCACATGGCTAGTAGGGGGACTTTAATGATGTATTAGATTCAAACAAAAAATTAGGTGGTAACCATGTTAACAGAAATCGTACTAAATACCTTTGGAGCTGCATTAATAAATGCGACCTCATTGATCTAGGATTTAAGGGATGCAAGTTCACCTGGACAAATCGTAGGAAGAAAAATAAAGGTCTTATTATGGAGAGAGTAGATAAAATCTTTGCTAATAGCGATTGGATCAGTTGCTTTCCGAATGCATCAGTAACACATTTATCAAAAACTCACTCCGATCACAACCCTTTACTTCTTTAAATAATCCCTAAATTAAACATTGCCTTTCCAAAACCTTTTAGACTAGAAACCTATTGGTGCAGGTACCCCGACTTTAACAACCTAGTAGAAGAAAGTTGGAAGGGATCTAGTTACCTTGAATCGTCTAATTCCTTTCTAGGAAATGTTAAAGCCTGAAAAAATAAGGTCTTTGGAGATATCTTCAGAAAGAAAAAGAGAATCCTGGCTAGGTTAAAAGGCATCCAAGAATCCAAGCACTACCTAATAGTATCTTCCTTCAACAATTAGAACATCATTACAAATTGAATACAACAACTTTCTGAAAATAGAAGATGACTACTAGAAACATAGAGCCAGAATCTCTTGGGTTCAAGAGGGTGATGCAAATACAAAGTTCTTTCACATCATGGCATCTAACAATAAAAGGAAAAACAAAATTATGTTCTTTAAACATGGTGCGGGTGACTGGATCAATGATCCTTTGGAACTTCTAAAACATACCCACCAATATTTTCTCAACACTTTCACAACATCCCATCAATCCACCAACTGGATGAACATTCGTCGAGATCCTACAAGCTTCAATAAAATTGATCTCAAGACCTTCGATAATCCTTTAAATGCCTTTTGAGGTCACAAATGTTGTTTTCTCTTTTAAACCCTTTAAGGCACCAAGGCTAGATGGTATACATCCTTTTTTCTATCAAAAATATTGAAAAATCGTTGGGCCATCAGTCATAAATTATTGTCTCCCAGTATTCCGCAACAATACACTCCCAATGGGTATTAATAATACATATACCTGCTTTATTCCAAAAATCCATAATGCTAACAATTTAAAAAAAAAAAATTGGCCAATTGGGCTCTGCAATATGATGTACAAAGTCATTACTAATATTATTGCTAACACAATAAAACCATTTCTCAATGACCTGATTAGTCCATTTCAAGCAAGTTTCATTAAGAGTAGAAGAACTAGTGATCATGCTATCATAGTCAAGGAAATTATCAATCAATTCAAAAAGATAAAAGGGAAAAAGGACAATATGATACTAAAGCTAGATTTAGAAAAGACTTTTGACCGACTAGAATGGTCACTTATCTATCGTACGCTCAAATTCTTCAATTTCTCACCATCAATCTCCAAAATTAATCATGCACTGTATTTGTATAAGCAATATAGCAATCCTAGTCAATGATTCAACTACTGAATTCTTTAGTCCAAGCAGAGGTATTAGACAGGGTTGCCCCTTATCACCTTATATCTTCATACTTTGTAGGGAAATGTTCTCCCGTCTAATCTATCATGAAGTAGACATTTGCCAATGGGATCCCATACACCTAAGCCCCCGATATCCCGGCATATCTCACCTATTCTTTGCTAATGATCTTACTCTAATGGCTAGGGTGAACGAGAAATCATGCAACTCCATCAAAAATAGCCTTTCTCTCTTCTGCAAATTATCGGGCCAAAATATCAATCTCCAAAAATCAAAGATCATTCTTTCAAAAAGACTGTGCCCCTAATTTAGCCAAAGAAGTAGCAAGCAGCTTCAACATCAACATAAGCAATACTTTTGGGAAATACTTAGGGTATCCAACTCTCCAGAATCAACCAAACCAAGGGACTACCAATTCATTATTGATAACATGCAAAGAAAGTTGACTTCCTGGAGAGCAAACTTTCTTAATATAGCTGGCAGAACAACCCTAGCGATCTTCACCCTAAACTCAATTCCTAGTTATGCCATGCAATACACCTATCTTCCTACAAAAACCGTCAAACAAATAGATCGTATCCAACACAACTTTATCTGGAGATTAATGAATCCAAGAAGCTTCACTATGTAAGCTGGACTAGTATTACCAAAACAAAAGAAGAAGGGGGCCTTAGCTTAAAAACAGCCAAAACCGAGAACTTAATAACATTAAGCAATCTTGCTTGGAGGATTCTCACAAATCCCACAGCTATATGGTCGAAGCTCTTCATCTTCAAATATGCCAATAAAAATCCAAAAATCACCACCTCCTTCACTTGAAAAAGTATCCTCAAAGAGTAGTTGATTTGCTCAAAAGGTATTACGTGGCAGCCCAGTAAAATTCGAACCTTAGTCTTTGGACTTCCAATTGGGTACCAAACCTTCAACCACTAAGACAATGCATTGAAGGACCTCTTAGCAGAGGAGAATCAACCATCAAGGTCAAAGACATCTTTTCTAATGGCCAATGGGATCTCAAAAGAATTTCCTTTGATATTCCAAAGGAGATTAAGATCAAAATTGATCAAATACCAATGCAATTAAAGCCTGGGAACAATATACACCGGTTTGGAATCTCAACACCAATGGGTGCTTTATTAGCATATCTTGTCTTAACATTATCAATAATACCACCATCCATCAATATGACTTCATGTGGATATGAAAATTGAAATGCCCTAATAAAATAAAATTGTTCCTTTTGCAATGTCTTCATAATAGAATTCCTTATCGCCAATACTTGCAGCATATTGGTATTAACATTGATAGCAACTGTCCTATGTGCAATGAAGGAGAAGAGTCCATTGCTCACATCTTCATTCGATGCCCCATAGTTCAAACCCTATGAGACAATCTAGGAATCAAAAATCTAACCACAACTGTCACAGAGCACTGGCTACTTCACACCAAAAATCTTAGGCCAAGTTTTAAATCACCCCACATTGACCGGCAAGACCTCTTTCCCTTTATAATATGGGGAATATGGATAAATAGGAATAATAACAACACCAGCAACACAACTCTCCGCCTGTCACTCCAAAAAATTCTAAATCATTCCCTAGAATTCCACTTCATGATCAAAAAATCCTTCCACTCAAACCATCACAACTATGCAAATAATTGGCACGCCCCACAGAAATGTTGGATAAAACTTGACATATACGGAGCGTTCGAAAATTCTAAGTGTGGCTTAGGTGGAGTATTTAGGGACAGTACGGGAAAATGGATATTAGGATTCCATAAATACTGTCATGGCCTATTTCCTTTACATATTGAATTGCAGGCACTCCAGGAAGGGCTACGATTGGCGGACAGGTTTGACCTATTCCTATTGAAAATAGAAACGGACTCAACGGAAGTGATAAATGCTATTAACAATGGACATGTGATACTAGCTAATCTGATTTACTCTTACAGGTCATTAATGTGCCAGGAGAAGGGCCTTCTACTACGACATAATTTCTGACAAGGAAATGCAGTTGCGAACGCTCTAGCAAAAGAAGCAAAAAACAAAGAAAACAAACAATATAATCCGGGAAGAACTAAACTGTTTGCTGAACCGCCTCTTTTTGTGAAACATCTTACCAAGGATATGAGCTGGGAATGCAAATTGTCAAAACAACTACCTATCTCAGTTTGTAATATGCTTAGAACTCTAGGAAATCAAAATATTGCAAATGACAAAAGCTATTTGTCTGCGGGGATATCTAGCCTCAATGTCATCTCTAGTGACACTATGACATGTAATATGTTAAGCTCTATTTAGTAAGTAACATAAATCCTATTAGTACTCAAAAAAAAAAGATAAAAAATTTATTAGATAACAAGAAAAAGAGAAAAAGAACAAACAATTAAAGTGTCATAAAATGAGACAAACTCACTTCCTATCCACACAATTCAAAGAATATTCCACAATTACAAATATTATGAAAATCCACCAGATTCCAGCTAACACTCCATGTATGATAACTGTACTTCTTGTTTCATTGTTGCTACGGTTATAGCTACACACAAGGCACAACTGCAGCAGACGATTTCAAGAGCCCTCCATTTTTATGAACTTGATGTAGCTCTGAAGTGAAAATAAAATTATATCACAATTTTTTCCCTGTTCAATTTACTGGAGAAATCAATTGCAAAATATATTTGAGAAATAATCAAGAATTAAATTTAATTAGGAGATGAAGATTGATAATTACACTTGCAATTCTTTGATTGGTGCTCCTTGGCCATTTGTTCAAATAGGCTACCATCATAAACACCTCTAACCTTTTCTTTTCCCAACAATCCATGCTGGTCTTTGCAAAGGAAATAAAGGATTTTCCACTCTGATAAAGCAGCAATGCTGCATAATCCAGTTTATTATATTATTACTTTTTTCAAGAGGCCATAAAAATGGAGTTTAACTTTTATAAGCCACAATGTAAAAGAACTTTTATATATTAAGTCATCTAAAATATAATAGCATGTAAATCTAGCAGTCAACCTCGTGAAAATAGCACGGGCTAGCCAGTTTTGGGGCTGGTAATTGAAAAATAGCTAGCATTTGGAATGTCATTGAAAAATAGCCACTATTTGCTGTAACACGGAAAGTTTTAGCAAAATATACTGGAGATTGGTGCACATGTGTTTGAACTTCCAGCATATTATGCTGGAGATTGGTGCACATGTGTATGAACTTCCAGCATATTATGCTGAAACTCCAGTATATTATGCTGAAAGTTCACATGTAAAAACTTCGAACTCCATTATATTATGCTGGAATATTTTCCAGATTTTATAATTTATTGTCCTTTAAAATCCAAACTTGACAATAAGAAATTTATATTACCGTCCCTTAGAGTCCTTTGGTTGCTCATTTGCCTTAAGCATTTCATCCAATTCCTGGGCTGTCAAGGCGTTTCCATTTGAACGTGCATGTTTCCTGAATATCTCTTCGAATTTTTCCTGAACAAACCTTCAAAATGGCAAGATAGAGTTTGAGTTTCGCTGTTCAAGCATGCTAAAATATACTACTACTTTACAAGCAGTGTAGAACCCTTGTTAAGCATCAACAATAAGAGACTGAAGTTTTATTCACTGACGATGTAAAGAATTTATTTGTGGTTATCCAACTAATTTATTTCCGGAAGCACTTTTTTGAGAAGTACTTTTGAGAAAAACACACTTAAAAGCACTTTTTAAAAGCTTGGCAAACACTAATTGTTGCTTAGAAGTACTTTTCAAATTAATTAGCCAAACACAAACTACTTTTCACAAAGTTCGGGAGAACTCAGTAACTTTGATCAAAACTTTGCATTAGTATGTAAACTCGATAACTTAAAAGGACTAGAATTTCAAATTTATAAACTTCAAATTCTAACTCCGACGAGTAGAGGGAGAGGTTCTAGTGGAGCAAAAGAGAGGCATGAGATGCGTACCTTCCTTCAGTGTCATAGGCTCCACTATCACTGCCATGCTTTGCTAATTTGATGTTCTTCACTTCAATAGGAAACAGTAAAGAAGGCCACTTCCCCTGTGCATGGTACAGTTATAAATAGTTATCAGTTTCTTCCCTCCATCATTTTTCTCAAGCAAACTATATATTATTGGTGAATATATACTTTGTATTTAAGAACCAAATTCAATTCTTGTCCTTTTTTTAATTAACAGTACGTCCTCGCAGTGGCGAAGCCGGAAATTTATCTAGGGTGTACAAAGCTGAAAGAAGTAAAAAAAATCCTCAATAAAGGGTGTTACAATATATGTTATATACCTCTAAAATCTAATGTTTTACCTATATATACAGTATAATTTTTCGACGAATGTGGTCAGTTGACCACCTTTAGGGCTATATAGCTTCGCCCTTGCGTCCTCGCATGTCTAAATCTTGAATAAACTTGATTAATTTGTGAATTGAAGTTGTATCACTTATGATCATAGCTCTATCATTTCCGATAGTTCATTGATCTTTAATTAATGAAATTAGTTCAATAAAAGAAAGTGGGGTTTGTTCAAAAAGATTGACATTATCTTTTTATTACTCTGTTTCAAAAACATTGACACCTTTCAATATTTCCTTAATAAGAAGTATTTATAGTCATACAAATGGTATGGCGGGTTTCATACCACAAGATTCAAAAGTTTTACAGCCACACAGATGTTATGGCTTATTTAAGATCACATATTTTAAAAGTCTTCCTTTCTTTATTAAAGCTTGTGCCAAGTCAAAGTAAGACAATTTTTTTGAAACATAAATAACAAATTACAAGTCAAAATAAGAGATTCCTTTTTGCTATATTCCGGTTGTTATGAGCTTACTCTAACTCGTGTCTTCCACACATGGACAGTCTAATAGGTTATTGGCCAAGCTTCTAAAATTACCTTATTTTGAAAAGCACTTTTGGTGAAAAATAATTTATGTTTGGCTGATCAATTTGGAAAGCATTTTTGAACAGCAATTAGTATTTTGTCAAGCTTTTAGAAATGCTTCTAAGTGTATTTTTCTTAAAAGCGTTTTTCAAAAAAATACTTTTGAAAGAAGCTACTTTTTTTTTTTTTTTTGCTTCTCAAAAAATACTTCTGCTTCTACTCACAAGTACTTTTTTTTTTTCCTTCCTATAAACTTTGGCTAAATACCTTTAACTTTGAAATTGGAAAAGCTTAGCCCAACAGATTATAAATTGTTTTCATTTAAATTCAATTACATGTAACTTCATATGAATAGTGCCTATAACTTACGTAATTCTCTAAAAGGTGTCAAAACTATGAGAATCTTTTCCTAAAAATATTGGAATTAGAAAACGTAACAAAATTAGAAAAGAATAACTTCAAAACGTCATTAAACACACCATGCAAGATAAGGTTTCTAACATGTTAAAGTGTTAATACGACAATTTATGTTAAAACAATTTATGTTTGGCTGATCAATTTGGAAAGCATTTTTGAGCAGTAATTAGTATTTTGTCAAGCTTTTAGAAAATGCTTTTAAGTGTATTTGAGTCCGTTTAGATTAACTGATTGTAAATAGCTGATAAGCTTGAAGTGCTGAAAAGCTTTTTTAGGTGCTGAAACTGATTTGGATAAAAGTGGTGAAACTGATATTAATAGCTGATGTGTTTGATAAAAATCAGCTATTTTTGGCAAAATGACTAAAATACCCTTGATTTTTCTTTCGAAAGATTATAAATTAAAAAAAAATTGTAAAGAAAAGAATTAACACCAAATACGGAATGAAAAGAAAGTTAGAAAATTTATTTTGCGAAAAGTATTTTGTGAATTAAAAATTATTATTAAGGATAAACTAGTAAAAATGTTGTCAAATTAAAAGTGCTTATAAACTGAAAAGCCATAAGTTGAGGGTGATCAACTTATGACTTATGACTTATGGCTTACTTAATTAGCTTATAAGCACTTGGCTTATAAGCATTTTGGGTGTTTACCAAACGCATAGATAAGCCAAAAAGTGTTTATAAGCCAGTTTCACCCGCTTATAAGCTTAGCCAAACGCCCTCAATTTTCTCAAAAATATTTTTGCAAAAAAATGCTTTTGGAAAGAAACTACTTTTTTTTTTCTGCTTCTCAAAACAGCTTCTGTTTCTACTCAAAAGTTTTTGTTTTTTTTTCTTCCTAGAAACTTTGGCCAAATACCTCAATTTTGAAATTGGTGAAGCTTGGCACAAAAGACTATAAATTATTTTCAGTTAAATTAAATTACATGTAACTTCATATGAATAGCGCCTATAACGTACGTAATTCTCTAAAAGGTGCCAAAACTATGAGAATCTTTTCCTAACAATATTGGAATTAGAAAGCATAACAAAATTGGAAAAGAATAACTTTAAAACGTCATTAAACACACCATGCAAGATAAGGTTTCTAACATGTTAAAGTGTTAATACGACATGAAAGGCAGGTAATCTTTGGTTTATTTAATTTGCATGTGAACAAGACTGCCTGATTAATGTGCACTACTTAATTAGGGATAAAGTAATTACCAAGAATATGAAACTCAATTCATGAAGTGAAAGGAATTAAGATAGGCATCTGCCAGCTTGCTCCATATTTGGCACTTTCCAAAATCATGTGCATATTAGAATATATGACAATGTGTATAGAAAAAATTAGTATCTTATTGCTCCACTTTTGGTAATATTAGGGTCCATTTCCAGCCAACCAAACCACTTCTATAAAAGCTTTTACGAAAATATTTTGCCTAAATATAAATTTTTCACTATCAATACTTTAACTTGTTTAACTTGCTGTAGCAAGTTGTTTGTGTTATTTTCCAGATTACTAATAATGTAAATATTTTTTTCGCTGTCAATATAGAGTAGTTAAACTCTCTTAAATAATGGAGTAATATATTGATACTGTAAAGTGCATTTGTTTTGTTCTCCTACAGTGAAGTGTTTATTTTCTTTTTTTGTTTCTCCAGAAGGGAAGGATCCGTCGTCATATATGTGGATACTAATATTTTAGCAGAATACCTAAAACACCTTCTAATTTAGCACAAATTATTTAGTTGCACACCTAAATTATGACAAGTCCCAAATTTATGTGGTTGTTATTAAGTCTGTTCTTTTATTAGTAATCTCTCCGTTTCAATTTATGTGAAACTTGTTTGACTGGGCACGAAATTTAAGAAAAAATGAATACTTTTTGAATTTATTATCCTAAACAAGTCAAAAAGGGATCTAGAGTATTTGTGTGGTTATAAAAGCTTCTCGTTAAGGGTAGAATTGGAAGTTTAAGCTAAATTGTTTCCAAATTTAGAAAGGGGTCATTCTTTTTTGAACAGATCAAAATTATTATATTAGTTAGTGTTTTGATGGGAATATTTGAGAAGAGGTTGCTTTGTCCCTCATTGGAAAAAGAAAGAAAGGAAGAAAGCACTTCTTCGTCTTACATGATTTGAATATTTTAAAGATGTTTTGGAGGGAAACTAGAATTTGGCTATATTAGTAGGCACTTGGGGCACTTGGGCCAATTAAATAGCCCAAAATTTATTTCTTTTAGCTACCTATTAATTTTATTAATTAATAAAAAAATATTTTAATTATTAAAACGTTTTAATTTTGAAAAAGGTGACTTGTTTTTTAAAAGGTGCATATTGGCAAAGGTTGAGTTTGTTAATCCTAACAGATACCTAAAGGGTTTATAAATACCCCTTTCCTCTCCAAAACGAAAATCATCAGAAAAGCAACAGTTTTATCTTCTTCTTTTTCTGCTATCTTCAATTCACAAAGTTTGTTCAAGTGGAAATTTGAGTTAATTGATGGTACTCGAATTTCAGAGGCTTTGTAGAATCCTGGAGGAATTCTGCCATATTCCTTGCTGCAACGAAATTGGGAGGCTTGAATTCCTTAAGGACAGTGACTACACTATCAAGGCCTAATTATTTCGTCCCTATATTCTGTTATTTTTTCTAACAAAGGAAATAGGTCCACATAAACTGGCACGGAGGGAGTATCATTTTTCTTCCCTCCTACGACAGGGAAGGGTGCTTCTCATAACCCTTGCATCTACAAATTAATACGTAAGTAATAGTTCTCTTCTTTCTTTTTTCTATTCCCGTGTCCGGTATCCGCATTGGGGTCTGACTAAATTCGGATTCGCTCCGGGAAGTCCCACATTAGGGTAAAGCGCTCCCTAACAAAGGCAACTCCATATCCAGCAAATAATAATTCTCTCTAGTCATGCACACCCGGGGCGAAGCTCTGTGCCAAGGGTGGTCAACTGACCACCCTTCGTCGAAAAATCATACTACGTATAAGGTAAAATATTGACCACCCTTCGTCGAAAAATCATACTACGTATAAGGTAAAATATTACTTATTATTGATTAAAAATAGATTTTGAACACCCTTGCATAGCCCACTGGCCCTTATTGAATTTTCTGGCTTCGCCACTAATGCACACGTCAGAGAATAAAGCTGGAAATATACTTCTGATCACAGCCACAGGCTTATTATCTGATATGAAACTTTACCAATAGAATCTTGAATAAATAAAATAATTAGCTTCATGGACAAACAATTCGTGAATAAATAGATTTGACAATATTTTAAATCATCTTTAGGTCTCAATTCTTCGCTTTCCACTGTGGAACATTAATCTAATTAACTCTTCACTCATTCATACAAAATCTTCTCTTCAAGTTAGGGAAAAAGGGATATTTTCTCATTTATTTTTTTCAGTTTAGTTCTTCTATGTCATATGTGTTAGTAGAATAAGTCAAAGATTATGTTAATTGTTTTGATTTGTTTACCTAATATTTAGGAGATTTGGTTTCCGTTACCTAGAGTTTAGTAAGTAGTACCTATTTTTATGCTTTGTTTCAGCAGATTCTCATTGCTATTCTGGTTTCTGCATTAGCATAACCTCACTTATTTATTTATTTTTGACAATATTAAGTATGAATAGACCTACCATAGTCTTTCAGTGTAATTCTGTTTTATTTCTTTTACGATCTTCAAAATGAGATTTAGATTAAACAACTTATTAATTCAAAAGAATCATATAAAGAGACAGAGATAGAGATAATTACAGGTCGAGTTTTGCGACTGAGGCCAGCATTAATAAAAATGGAGGCGAAAACGGAGAGAAAAATACCACTTCCTATTTTCCGGAAACCTGATAAATCAAAGAGAAGATTGTTTTCAGAAGAGAAAAAAAAAGAAAAAGATGATACATAAAATGAAGTAGAAAAGTAATAATTAATAATGTGGAAATTATTTTGTAAAAAAAAGAAAAACGACAAACGAACAAAAAGATATTTTCCAAGGAATAAACACGAACGGTCGAAAGATGACAATTCAACTCAAAATATCACAAATTAGAATTAATTGATCGCTTGGCCACAATTGCTTTGTAGTTTCCTACTAGCTCCATTCAAACTATGCTTAAGAAAAAATGACATTAAAATATTTAAATAGAAATTAAAACCTTGATAAGTTTCCCATGGGTAAATAACTCCATCCTTGTTGATATCAAAGAACATAACATGTTTTTCCAGAGGAGTTGGCTCTTTCTTCTCAACTCCTGCATACCAAATTACACGAATTATATGTAGCTATTTTAAATTTTCAATCACAAAAACTTAAAAAGAAAAAAAAAGAAAAGAAAAATCGCATACCCTCTTGGTGAATGCTGTTGTAAGAAGCCATAAAATCTATGAATAAAATGAACAGAGAAAGAAGATGAAAATATCAATAAGAATTTGGATATGAAAGATTGGAAAGAAAAGAATAAATTTTGAGGTTGCTCTTTAACTCTTTCTTGCTGTGTAGTATTCGTATTTCACAGAATAAGTGTGTATATATACAACACCTGAATTTTCTTAGTAGGACCAGCACTACACACCTGGATTTTCACTTTCGCATCTGGAATTTGGAATCTTTTTCATTTTATTTTCATTCTCTTTTACCTTTTTCTCTAATTTAATTTGTTTATTTTCTTGACATTATTTAACTAAAATATAAAGCATGTGCTGGATCTGGAGTAGTTCGTTTTTTTTTTCTTAAAAAAAAATTGTTGTAATCAGCTTTCAATGATGTATACTTCTCACTTAGTCTAAAAATAGAATCTCTTATTTCTTAAAGAATGTATACTTTAGGGGAAATGTTTTTTATGATGAAATTATTAGGTGGTATATATTTAGCGTAATTAAATAGGGGGAAATGACTTCTCACTTAGTCTAAAAATAGAATCTCATATTTGTTAAAGAACGGTATACTTTAGTGGAAATGTTTTTATGATGAAATCATTATGTGGTATGTATTTAGTGTAATTAAATAGGGGGAAATGACTTCTCGCTTATGTAAAGGTTATCAAAGAGGGGAGACTTCACCTATTGCCAAGGTTTTGGTTTAGATTCTCGTATCTCTCGGATACGCAGACTTTATTCTACTTTGTGAAAATAAACAAGTTGTTTCCGATAAATCCTTGATTCAAAGAAAAAAACGCTAACAAGCTATGATTGTGAAGATAAAGAAGTTGTTTCCGATAAACCTTCGACTCAAAAGAAAAAACCCTAACAATATTATGACTCTGCATTAACTAATTCGTGAAAAAAAATGGTCACAAAATTAAGATAGTAATAATATTGTTGCTTCTTTCTTTTCTTTTCTTTTCTTTTCTTATTATTATGTTTTTGGTGGGCTCATAGTTCACCGCCTAAAAAATATTAGATTTAAAACGTTGAAGCAACAGATCGCAAAAGCAACTTAATTATTTGGCTTGAAAGTTAAAGCATCAATCTAATAAAGCAACAACAAACATTATTTGCTTTATGAAGAAATAACGTATTTGTACTTCCTTTCGTTCTTGCCTTTGCCCTTTAGCTTTACAAGATGCTTCCGTGAAGCATTAACGAAGGAAAATGCGTCGTCTGTGTGGGGTCCTTGAGAAATAAGGGCTTGAAAATTTTGACTCTTGAATGATCTCATGATTTGTTATATTTTTGGTATTGCAGTGTAGAGTTTGGTTTACGAATGATCTCATTGTTCAAGAATTTCTGTTATTGCATATGTATATATATAGCTTGGTTTACATATGGCATCATTCAGTTGTGAAGATCATTTTCTGACCAGCTTACACATACCTCCTCAACTATTCTATCGGATATATATTCTCTCATTAGTACAAGTGTCGAGTAACGTCTCTACCTTCAAGGCAGATGGCATAACAGTTTACAGGGGCGGGTTAACCATTTTTTTTTTTTTTTGGTAACTAACTTTTGTATTAATCACCTTTGAAACTTTACAAAACTATAACTAACCACAGCACAGTTAGTTATCTCAAAAGAAAATATCTCAATCTATACTCCTCACTATTACTATATACATGAAGATCTCATCTAAACTAATTTCCTTCACACCTAAAATGAAAAAATTTCCAATAGTTCTTGAACTCTGCTGCCAGCTCGCACATGACAAGTATAAACAATTTCTCGAGCAATTGCTTCCCAACTTCTGGCCTTCTTTTCAAACACTCTATTGTTCCTTTCAATCCATATAGCATAGACACATTCCGCATATACCAGTTTGAATAGTTGAGCTTGTTTAGATTTCCCTTTAGCCCTTTTGATAGCCCAAGTAGCATGCTGATTCCATTCATCTGGTGCTTGTTGCCATTGTAGCCATTTCTGCATTATCCTCCATATAGCCTTAGCATAGTCATATTCTACAAACAAGTGGTCTCTAGTTTTCAGTTCAGCTTGACACAAAGAGCAAGTATTGTCCACTTGTTATACCCCATCGCATTAGCCTATCTGTTGTAGCCAACCTCCCCTGCAATACCAACCACATTATAAAGCTTGCCTTTGGTCTTGCATCATTCTTGAACATAAGGCATTTCCAGACTACTGGTCTCATTTCAGGGAGCAATTTGTAGTAGATAGCATTAGTCAAGCTCCTTGAGCTTGAAGTTGCAGGGATCAGATGCAGTTCATTCCTCAATTCCAAAAGCTTTCTAGTAATCCAGCTGGCTTGTGTTGGAACTGTTGCTTCCAGTAGTGGCTTCCCTTTAATATAGTAAGTGTGGATCCATCTAATCCATAGCTTGTCTTGTTTGTGAGCAATATCCCAGCATGTCTTGATTTGAGCTGCTTTATTCCATAATTTCATGTTGATGAGGCCTATTCCACCCATAGACTTAGGCAGACACACTCTATCCCATGCTATCAAAGCTTTCTTAGTGATTGAGTTGCTGTCTGACCACACATAGCTTCTGCAATAACCTTCTATAATCTTCAGAACCTTAGCAGGGATAGAAAATAGTTGGGCCCAATATGCTTGCATTCCAAACAAAACTGACTTCACTAATTTGTGTTCTCCCTGCAATGATAATTTTTTTGCTGTCCAAGAGGTGATTCTGGCTATTATTTTCTCTATTAAAGGTTGCCACTGTATCAAAGAAATCTTCTTAGTAGCTAGAGGCACTCCCAGGTATTTAAAAGGTAGATGCCATGGACAAAACCCAAGTGATTCAGGATGTTGGTCGTTCTTCCTTTTGACTCCACCAAAGTACACACTGCTCTTCCCAAGATTAGCTTGTAGTCCTGAGGCTGTAGAGAAGGTTCTGAAGCATTCATAGAGTGCAGAAATAGAGCTCAAATTTCCTTTGGCAAATAGCAGTAGATCATCTGCAAAACTTAAGTGTGTTACACCTAGTTTTGCACATTTAGGATGGAATTGATAGCTTTTTCATCCTTCAGTTCATTGAGTAGCCTACTCAAGTACTCCATGGCTATTGCAAATAAGAAGGGAGATATTGGATCTCCTTGTCTCAGCCCCCTAGCTGCATTAAAGGGTTTACTTTGTTCTCCATTGATCACCACAGTGTAGTTCACAGTTTGCACACATTCCATTATCCATAACACAAATTGATCAGGAATCGCAAGCTCAAATAACATCTGTCTCACAAAGGGCCATTCAACAGAATCATAAGCTTTTTGTGGTCAATTTTGATCATGCACCTAGGTGACAATTCTTCCTTGTATAGTCTTTAACTAACTCATGGGAAAGGAATATGTTGTCAGCTATTTTCCTCCCTGGGATAAAGCCAGCTTGAGCTGCACTTATAATATCTGGCAATCACAGCCTGCATTCTGGAGGCAAGGATCTTGGCAATCATTTTGTATAGGACTATACAACATGCAATAGGTCTATACTCTTTCACAGTATTGGTTTGGAAGTTTTTTGGGACTAGTTGATAGCAGTACAATTGATTGCCCTATACAATTTCCCAGTTTTGAAAAACTCTTTGACAGCAGCAATAACTTCTTTCTTCACAAGGGGCCATACCTTTTTGAAAAAATAGGCATTGTACCCATCAACCCCAGGGGATTTATCATTTCCTATTGAGGACAACCCATCATATATCTCCTTCTCTGTAATTTCTGCACATAAGCTTGTCCTTTGTTGTTGAGTGAGAACTGGCCCTTTCCTCATTGTTTGCTTATTTACTGCTGGTAGAATGTGGGCTGCTGAACCCATCAAGCTTTTATAGAACTTGATTATCTCATCTCTGATTTCCTCTGGATCTTCTAGCTTCCTATTATCAAGAGATGTTAGCTCAGTAATTTGTTTCCTCTGTGTCCTTTCTTTGATCAATGCTGAGAAGTATTTATTGTTTGAGTCTCCAAGTTTGATCCATGTAGCTTTAGCTTTTTGTTGTAAGGCACACTCTTCCATCAGTGACCATTTCTCCAGCTCCTGCAACAACTTTCTTTCTTCTGCAAGCAAATCTGTATTGTCCCTTAATTGCATTAGTTCTTGAGTGTTTTTGAGATCTTGCCTTGCCTTCTCTATTTTTTGTCTGATAAACTTGAACTCCTCATTGTTAAGCCTCCTCAAGTCTGATCTCAGGTTCTTCAATTTCTTCCAAATATTCTCCATACTATTTGTGGAAAAAGTGTTCTCCCATATTATTATGGGCATAAAGCCAGAGTTTAATGGAGGCCTTAAACTTAAAAAGAAAATCTTAATTTATTTGATGTCTATTTTTTTTGCTTTTGAGATACAAAATTATTTTTGTTTTTCTTCTAATTATTCCTTTTAAATTGATAATATAGCTAATTCGCTTAATATTTCTTCAAACATTGTTGATCTTAAGTAAGTCTAAATCGTTTAACACTTTTAATTCAAAAAATAAATCTAAATCATCAATATTAGAGTGACTATTATATTTTAAGAAATATTGAGAACACGCGCTTCAAATTGTTTACATCTATTCTAAAGTGAACTTCGCTTGGTCTACAATAGATAAGAAGTAATGAACTTTAAAAAAATTCTTAAAGACTTTGTGACTATCAACATACTAATCAATTTTTTCTTTCTATAAATTATACCATTATTATCAAGTTCAATTTCTATATTTCAGTGGTGAATAATAATCTTTTTTTTTTTTGGTTGAGCAGTGTGACGAGTAACAAGAACCTTCAAATCAATTAATGTTGTTCAACAACAATAGTTGAGGCATTGGCATAAGAAACTATGGCATGAAAAATGAGAAAGAAACTTAATTTACGTATGATGGTGTTGCACTCCCCATCTTACACTTTTAAGTTAATGATAAAATCCAGGTGTAAAGGTTCCATACATGTAGAACTCCATAAAGTTTGTTTGTCTTTCTTAAATTCATCTTCTCACTATTTAGGGGAAACAAAACTCTAAGAACCCAATTGGACATAGATATTTTCCCCCTTTTTTAAGCATTAAGCAGGTTTAATTGTTTTTTCAGGTAGAATAGTCAAATTGGGATGATTTTAATACTTTTTACAAATGGTGGAGTATAAATCATATTTTATGATTTTGGGAAAAAGTACATTCAAATACATTGCAAAAGTTATAACCAAATATAACTTCATATTCAAATCAAACTTGAGTGAAATTTTGAATTCCAAGAAAAACCTGGAAATTTATGTCCAAATGCCTACTAAGCCTATAATCTATTTTTGCCAAAAATGGTGCCCCCAAATTTAAGGGCCTTAAGCAGCGGCCTTGCTGGCTTCACCTTTGAGTTGGTCTTGACAGTTTACATATCACTAGCGATTCAACACAAAAGTGGCTCTCTACAAATCTTTTTTTAAGCAAATCCCACATCGAAATGTGAGGGCAAAATAATTAGTGCATATAAAATGACAAGTTCAAGATTAAGCTGTGAAGCGTAGTTTGAGTTAAAGCCCAAGCTAACAAAACTATGAAACAATAGATTGGGCCGCTACAGTGGACAAACTAATTGGACCTAAGCACTAAGCCACGGGAGAAATTCAAAAATAGCCAGATTTACAAGTGGTCGTTCAAAAATAGCTCAGTTTTAAAAATAATCGAAATCTAGCCACTTTTCATGTAAAGATAAATCTGAGCGAAAACACTGTTCAAAACCCAGAAAATACACCAGTATATTATGCTGGAGTTGGACCGGTCTCTGTTGCAGCAAAACAGTGGCTATTTTTCATTGACTTGGTAAATGTTGGCTATTTTTGAATGACCAGTCCGAAAACTGGCTAGACCGTGCTATTTTTACCTAAGCCACAAGTAGGGATGTATATGAACCGAGTTGGTTCGGTTTTATCAAAACAAAACCAAACCAACTATTTCGGTTTGGGCTGGTTCGATTTTGTCGGATTTTTGGATTTTTCAAATTTTTTGCTACATGAATATTATTTTTCAACCTTACTTTGTTAAAATTATAGTTAAAATTTTGATAAGTTGAATATATGTTCAGTAAAAATTAAAAAAAAAGTTGACAAACATATAATATATTAGAACATTTTTATGGGTGATTGTTTTAGTAACACATGATAGTTATTTTCTTAATTATCTAACATTATTTTTTGTTGATGTACGCTTTCAAAGTTAATCGAAATTAATAATTAAGCATAAAATTGATATGATACCTAAACAATGATATGTTCTATTTAAATTTAAATTATCAAAATACTATTTCAAATTCGAAAAAAGATATAAGAAATTTTGACATATTTGATAAGAAAGTGAT